GCCGAACTCGAGCTCAGCTGGCGGCTCCGCCGTCGAATATCGCTCCCCTACGGGGCAGACGCCAGCTTCGGCCGACCTGGCGGCGCCTCTCTGCACCTGGCCGACCTCGAGCTCAACTGGCGGCTCCGCCGTCGAATCTCGACCGCCTCGGCCGAAGCCAGCCGCGGCCGAGCTAGCGGTGCTCGCCTCGCTGCTCTCAAGCTCTGCGATCCGCGCCCAGCTGACCTCGAGCTCCGCTGGCAGCTCCGCCGCCGAAGCTCGCTCGCCTGGGCCGACGCCCAAGAGCCCCACGCTGTGCGCTCCGAGCTGGTCGCCCGGCCGGGGCCCCCAGCCCCCCGGCGCCGGCGGCAGCCTCCGCCACGAAAGTACGTACACAGACACCCCCCGACGACCTTGCATGTGTACCTTCAGGGGCCGGGTGGCGCTGTAGCAAGCCGCTGGCTCTCAGTGGTGGCTCATACTCCGCCATTGGAGGGTGTCTGTGAGGCTTTCGTGGTCTGGCGGACGGCCCCAGCTCTCCGGCCCCGGCCAGCCGCCGGCCGCACCTGCGGCAGAACCGCTCGTCGGGCAGCGGGGCGCTGCCGCAGGCGCAGCGCGGCGGGCCCGCGGCGGCGCCGCGGGGGCCGCCGCGCGGGCTCCCCGTGAGGGGCAGCAGCGTCACCACCGTGCCGCCCGCGGCCGCGCCGCGCGCGCCGGCGCCCGGCTGCGCGAGCGGCCCGTCGCCCTCCATGTCGTACCAGTCGCCGCAGTCCTGCGCCGGGGGGCCGCCGCCGCCGGGCCGGGCGCCGCCGGCGCTGCTCCGCGGGCCGCCGCCCCCGGGCGGTCGGGGGCCGCTGGCGCTGCCGCACGGGGGCGAGGGCGAGCAGTCGCCGTCCAGGCGGTAGTGCTCCACGCCGCGCTGCGCGGCGAAGCCGCCGCCCTCTGTCGCAGGCTCGCTGCTGGCGCTGCCGCACGGGGGCGAGGGCGAGCAGTCGCCGTCCAGGCGGTAGTGCTCCACGCCGCGCTGCGCGGCAGAGCCGGCGCCCGCTGTCGCAGGCTCCCTCGGGCCGCCCCGCGGCAGCAAAGGTGTGTCGTCCCCGCGCCAGAACCTGTCCACGGCGTCGTCCTCCGACGGCACCCCGACGTCCAGGCCAGACAGGCGCGTCACCGCGCCGAGCAGCCGGGCGCGCAGCGCAGTGATGCCCTGCTGGTCGTCGGCCCTGTCCGCCGCCTCGCCCTCGGCCTCTGGTAGTAGTAGTAGTAGTAGTAGTAGTAGTAGTTATTTTTGTTTTTTTGTTTTTTTTTGAGTAGTAGTAGTAGTAGTATGAGTAGTAGTAGTAGTAGTAGTAGTAGTAGTAGTAGTAGTAGTAGTCAGTAGTAGTTAGAGTAGTAGTAGTTAGTAGTAGTAGTAGTCGTAGTAGTCGTAGTTAGTAGTAATAGTAGTAGTAGTAGAGTAGTAGTAGTAGTAGTAGTTAGTAGTTAGTAGTAGTAGTAGTATAGTAGTAGTAGTAGTAGAGTAGTGAGTAGTCGTAGTAGTGAGTAGTAGTAGTAGTAGTAGTAGTAGTAGTAGTAGTTAGTAGTTAGTAGTAGTAGTAGTAGTAGCGTTAGTTGAGTCGTAGTCGTAGTCGTAGTTGAGTAGTAGTAGTAGTAGTAGTAGTAGTTAGTAGTAGTGTAGTAGTAGTAGTAGTAGTAGTTAGTTAGTAGTAGAAGTAGTAGTAGAAGTAGTAGTAGTAGTAGTAGTAGTAGTAGTAGTAGTAGTAGTAGTAGTAGTAGTAGTAGTAGTAGCAACCCAGGCATGCGACGTCTTGCTTTTTTCAGGACGGTGTCCCTGGAAGGCCCGCCCCTTTCCCAGGGACCGGTTTTTCGTCATGAGTCCTTTTTTGACGGTCCCGAGGCCCAGCGAGGGCCCCCCAGAGCCGAAGATAGCCAAAAGCCTCCCGTCCTGATTTTGTTTGTACGACGCGATCGTGTCTGGGAAGAAGGAGCGGAAGCAAAAGCATAAACGTGTTCGGAGGCCCGCGCGGGCTTCTTGGATCGATCGGTGCTGGACACCCCCCCCCCTCCCCAGCGCGAGGAGAGCGCGCCTGGCCAGGGGAGGCGCCGCCGCCCGGGAGGTCCAGCGCAGGACCTATCAAGAACCCGCGCGGGCCCTCGAAAACTTACGCCGCTATTTGGGGGCAGAAGAAATGACATAAACAAAACAGCTCGGAGGTCCGCGCGGATTTCTCGGATCGGCGCGGACCTCCGAGTTTTTATGTTTGTGTCACTTTTTGTTCCCCTAGCTATGCTTAAGTCGGGCGTGTCTCCCCACAGGGGGATTTTGGACGAAAAATGGAGAATTACCGAAACATGCACCAAAATTGTCAAACATACTCAAAACATCTTCCCCTACTATGTTGTAACTATTTTTGAATCTTCCCCGTGTAGAGGGACAGGCCCGACTGAACGCTGCTGCACTCGACACGCTGACGTAGGGGGCCGCGTTGGGCTCAGGACCGGCTCTGGCGTTCGGGCCGCTTCTCAGCTCGGGGTGGGGCTGCACTCGAAACGCTGACGTAGGGGGCCGCGTTGGGCTCAGGATTGGCTCTGGCGTTCGGCTCGGGGCGGGGGAGAACCTCTTCGCGGCCAAGGCTCGCCGCTGCCAGCAAAAAGCCCCCTCCGTCTCTTGCCCGGCGCTCCCTCTGATATTGTGGCTGCCATGACACTGGACACTCTAACAATCCATTGAATTTAAACTATGTCTAAAATGCGTAAAGCATGTTCTAAACATGTTTCAAACATGTTTTCACATGTTTAAAACATGTTTGAAACATGTTTTAGGCATCTGGCAATTATTTGGCAGCATGCTTCCTCTCCATCAACCGGCTTCCGCAACTCTGGTGGCAGGATGACTGCACCCTGAGATCCGACGTGGCAACATTGCAGAGCATCGCGACTGGAACCCTGCATCTTCGGGGGCGGCCAAGAGGGGGGCGTCGCAGAGGGGGGGCGCAACTCGTGGCGGGCGGCGCGTGCGCGGCCCAGGGGGGTGGGGGGCAACCGGCCGCCGAGGACGCCTGGAAAGCAAAAGAGGAGGCGCCATGATGGAAAAAGCTACTCTGGGAAGATTCATGGCCCCCGCCATGCATCCCTCCCCCGCCCCCCCCCCCTGCCTCACCCCTCCTCCTCATCCTCCTCCCCCTCCCCCTCCCCCTCCCCTCCCCCTTCCCTCGCCTCTCCTTCCTGCCTCCTCCATCCTCCCCCTCCCCGCCTCCGGCCTCCTCCTCCTCCTCCCTTCCCTCCTCTGATCCTCCTCTCCTCCTCTCCTCCTCCTCCTTCCTCCTCCTCCTCCCTCCTATTATCCCCCCCCAGATCTTCGTCCCCCCCCTCCCCCCGTTTGCCGCCGCCGACATATCCTCCCGCGGCACTTCAGTCGAGCCCGGTCGACGTGCGGAGGTCCCAAAAAGACGCCCGCCAGTTGAGGCGAAGAAGCGCCCGGCACGAAGACGGCTGCAGCGCCCAGATCTCCAGGTGTGCCGTCTCTTGCCCCTCCCTCTTCATCCTCCCCAGACATCGGGCGTCTCGAAAAAATCGAGACGGAAATTCTTCATAGCTTTTGGCCTCTCGGGGCCCTCGCCGGGCCTCGGGACCGTCAAAGAACGACTCGGGATGAAAAACCCGTCCCAGGGAAGTGGTCGGGAGGTCGGGGGCCCGCGTCTCGAAAAATCGAGACGTCGGATGTCTGGGTATGCCGTTTCTTGCCCCTCCCTCTTCATCCTCGTCTCCTTCGTAATCATAAACTGTCGAGCCTCCTTCCCAGACGCGCGGCGTCCTGCTTTTTTAAAGGCGCTGTCCCCCGAAATCCCGACCCTTTCCCAGGGCCGCGGGTTTTTCACTTGTTTTTTGACGGTCCTGGGGCCCGGTGAGGGCCCCGAGAGGCCAACAAAAAAAAAAGACTCGCCCGGATGTTTTTCCGCGACGCGAGCATGTCTGGGTCCGTGCAGGCCTCCTCCGCGCCGTCCAGCTGGAACACCGGCACCCCTGGCGGCACCTCGAAGACGAAGCCAGGACGAAGATCAAATCGGGTGAGGATAAATCGAGAATCTCTGAGATCTGGCAGCCCTGGAGGATATATCGTTAGGTCGGGCGTGTCCTTCTACAGGCGGATTGTGTACGCAAAATTAGGAATTGGTTCAAAAAAAATGTGTAAAACATAATCAGAAAATAGCCCCCAGACTATTTTCTTTGTATTGACATTTTTGAGAGATCCTCCTGCAAAAGGACAAGCCAGACTTAAATGCATCGGGCGCCGCGGCCTTCTCAGAGCGCTCTGGGACGCTCCGAGAGCGTTCCGGAACGCTCTGGAGCGGCTATCCTTGTCCTAGCTCCGTCCTAACCTCGCAATCCGCGACGTCTGGACCACTTCCTCGGGACGGGTTTTTCGTCCCGAGTCGTTTTGTTGACAGTCCCGTGGCCTGGTGACGCACAAATAAATACACACAAATTACAGGATTCCTTATATTTTTCAACATTTTCTGAGTTTTTGTCTTCCCCCCCCACCCCACACTCCCAATATTTTCCCATATTTTCTGGGGAATCGACGATTAATTGTGTCTGTGTGTTTTTTTTGTTCCCTCCTGATGACAGATGACAGTCCTGGGGCCCGGTGAAGGCCTTCAGAGGCCGAGGTCTGCCAAAAACCTTCTTCCACGACTCAAGGGGGTCCTAAGCCCTCCGCACTGCTCCCTCCAGAGCCTCCTCCGTGCAGCTCTCCTCGCCGTCGTCCAGCTGGAACACCGGCACCCCCGGCGGCACCTCCCAGGCCGCGCCCTCCGCGCCGCCGTCCAGCTGGAATTAAGTCGGGCGTGTCCCCCTACAGGGGGATATTTTGGGCGACAAGAAAACCAACAACTCCGAACACACCTCCAAAAAAGGAAGAGAGACATAGCCAAAACGTGGCCCCCAGACTATATTTCTATTCTACTGCTGCTCTTGAATATACTCCTCCTGCAGAGGCACAGGCCCGCCTTAACGCTGGAAGA